CCCCAAAACCCCAAAACCCCAAAACCCCAAAACCCCAAAACCCCAGGATCTGACTGGGAAATTGGAGATTTTAATACAAATTTATCTAAATCTGAATAAATTCCAAGGCTAGGCCCCAATTTCTCTTCACCAAAAATATCTTTCTGATCTGACTCCTTTCTAAAATTATTGATGGCTTGTTGGTTGCGGGTTACCAGCAGTGGCACAGGTGTAAGGGCAGAAAGAGAGGAAAGATCAGAGCGGCATTGGTGTAGAGAGGTAGTGGAGGAGGACTGGATGGGCTTGGGTTGAGGTTTAGGCTACAGGAGATGAGGCTTTGGAAGTGGTGATTGGTGAAAATAATTTGGTGATCAGGTAAAGCCCAGTGGTTGCAATTATGCAGTTATTTATGCTTGGATCTGATGTCTAGATAGGTTGGAATTGAATAGAAGTAAGGCTTTCATTGTTTGGAGTCAGAATAGCCAGAATTATCGCTACTGGAGTCGAGCATGTTTTGGAAGTCTTTGATATTTTATGAGTCAACAAATTTTGAACACATTGCTTTGGAATTCAACAGATTTTTTATACTACTCATCTTGGTAATCATAGAATATATTATAAGGAGATCAAGATTTACTCAGTTCTAACTGATTTTGTCAATATTGTTAAAAATCTCATTCTCTTTGAAATCGCTAGCTTTAAGTCTAATAATTTTAAAACAGATTCCCAATGAGAAATATTTAAATTAGCATGATGATACAGAATCCTTCCTGCTAAACATTGTGCTGATCTAGTGCTGAGTATTAAGTATAGACTTTGGGTAGGAATTTTAGCCTAACTAGATGCATAGGGGTTGGCTCTATGGCTAGCTACTTCCTGAGCTAATGTAAGAAAAAGATTGGAACTCTAGGATAAAGACATGATGTCTGTGAGAAATCCTCAAAATTTGTTAAAGTATTTTCTCTGAGGAATCTCAATGGAGGACTAAATTAAAGGAGATCTAGGACAGTTTACAATAGAACGATGAATATTGCATAAGATTTTTATACAAATTTATCCAATCATGAGGAATTATAACAAAACATTGTGTGAAAGTTCTGTCTAGCTATTAGACTTCTCTTATCATAATTCTCATCAAGAGAGACAATACTGAGTATATCAATAATTTAGAGTATCCTCAGACCTACCTCAGTTAATCTACTCTTTCAAGAGCATGACCAAATTAGCCTGCCATCTTAGACCTCAAATTCCCACAGACTCATCTACCCAAGTTTAACACCTAAAATCCCTCAAATTCCCCACTCAAATTCCAATTTCCCGTACAAATCTCTCTCCACATCTAAATTTCTCGAAAATCCCAAAATCAATAAATTAAAATACCAAAGGGGTTTTGGGGTTTTGGGGTTTTGGGGTTTTGGGG